TCTTTTTTTTTTTTTTTTTTTTTTTTTGAGACAGGGTCTCGCTCTGTTGGCCAGGCTGGAGTGCAGTGGCACGATCTCAGCTCACTGCAACCTCTATCTCCCGGGGTTAAGCAATTCTCCTGCCTCAGCCTCCTGGCCCACGTATGTCATTCTTACTCCTTCAAAACCATTAGGTAGGCTGGGCACGGTGGCTCACGCCTGTAATCCCAGCACTTTGGGAGGCTGAGAAGGGTGGATCACCTGAGGTCAGGTGTTCAAGACCAGCCTGGCCAACATGGTGAAACCCCATCTCTAGGCCGGGCGCGGTGGCTCAAGCCTGTAATCCCAGCACTTTGGGAGGCCGAGACGGGCGGATCACGTGGTCAGGAGATCGAGACCACCCTGGCTAACACGGTGAAACCCCGTCTCTACTAAAAAAAAAATACAAAAAACTAGCCGGGCGAGGTGGTGGGTGCCTGTAGTCCCAGCTACTCGGAAGGCTGAGGCAGGAGAATGGCGTGAACCCGGGACGCGGAGCTTTCAATGAGCTGAGATCCGGCCACTGCACTCCAGCCTGGCGACAGAGCCAGACTCCGTCTCAAAAAAAAAAAAAAAAAGAAACCCCATCTCTACTAAAAATACAAAAATTAGCCAGGGGTGGAGGTGGGTGCCTGTAATCCCAGCTACTCAGGAGGCTGAGGCGTGCGACGTGGCGGGCGACGTGGCGGGCGCCTGTAGTCCTAGCTACTCGGGGAAGCTGAGGCAGGAGAACGGGGTAAACCCGGGAGGTGGAGTTTGCAGTGAGCTGAGATCCGGCCACTGCACTCCAGCCTGGGCCACAGAGCGAGACTCCGTCTCAAAACAAACAAACAAACAAACAAACAAACAAACAGGTCAGGCGCGGCGGCTCACACCTATAATCCCAGCACTTCGGCAGGCCGAGGTGGGCACATCATCTGAGGTTGGGAATTCGAGACCAGCCTGACCAACATGGAGAAACCTTCTCTCTACTAAAAATACTAAATTAACTGGGCATGGTGGCACATGCCTGTAATCCCAGATACTCAGGCTGAGGCAGAAGAATCGCTTGAACCCGGGAGGCGGAGGTTGCAGTGAGCCAAGATTGCGCCATTGCACTCACTCCAGCCTGGGCAACAAGAGTGAAACTCTGTCTCAAAAAAACAAACAAACAAACAAACAAAAACAGTTATGTAGATTTGATCCAGTACTAGTGATGTGACCATTTCCAATTTAGCGAAACAGAAATTGTGATTAAATCTGGAACATCCTATGCATTTAGTATTTGATCTAGTATCTCCATCTTCTAATCAATTTAAAACATAGGTAAATTTCTGTCTTCTTTTCTACCAGAACAAATCTTTTCCATCACGTTCATTAAGTGGCCTCAATAATTTCTTTTCTTAATAGAATCTTTTATTTTGCCTTTACAGCCTCAGAAAAAGTACTCCTGGCATACTTTCTTGTCCTAATTTTAGGTTGCACTCCATGCCAAGAAACAGAAACAAAATTAAGCTTCTTTAAATACACCACAGATGAGCAACACAACAAATTAATCTGATAAAAACATTTCTAAGACAGAAAAAAAGTCTCAACTTATAAAGAAAAATTCAGAATTATTTTGTCTCGGTTGCCCAAAATACATATTTTTAAGTTTATTAAGAAACAGATACAAGCTGAGTACAGTGGCTCATGCCTGTTATCCCAGCATTTTGGGAAGCTGAGGTGGGAGGATCACTTGAGCCCAGGAGTTCAAGACTGGCCTGGGTAACATAGCAAGACCCTGTCTCTACCAAAAAAATAAATAAAAATTAGCTGGGCATGGGGACATGTGACTATGGTCCCAGCTACTCAGGAGGCTAAGGTGGGAAGGCTGCATGAGCCCAGGAGGTCGAGGCTGCAGTAGGCCATGATTGTGCTACCACACTACAGCATGGGTGAGAGTGAGATCGTCTCCCCGCCCAAAAAAAAAAAAAAAAGATAAAACGATTTTTAAAAATTTTAAGGAAAAAAACAAACAAATACAAGTCAAGTACAATGCAGCTGTGTTTCAACAGGAAATAAAATGGTCTAAAAACTATACTTCCTTAAGAAGGAAATCTAATGTTTATCAAACTAAGAGGTACAAAGAAGTCCAACAGATTACTTTTTTTTTTTTTTTTGAGAGACAGTCTCCCTCTGACACCCAGGCTGGAGTGCAGTGGCGCAATCTTGGCTCACTGCAGCCTCCGCCTCCCTGGTTCAAGCAATTCTCCTGCTTCAACCTCTCAAGTAGCTGGGATTACAGGCACCTGCCACCACCCCCACCTTATTTTTGTGTTTTTAGTAGAGACGGGGTTTCACCATGTTGGCCAGGTTGGTCTCGAGCTCCTGACCTCAAGTGATCCACCTGCCTCAGCCTCCCAAAGTGCTGGGATTACGCCACCGCACCCTAGACACATTTTCATAAAAAGCAACATTTTATTCATCATAAATACAAAGTTCAAAAAAGCTTTATGCATGATAAATTAAAAGAAAAAAATTCCATGTCAATTCACTGACATGCAATAGTCAACCTCACCTATGGGATTAATAATGCTACTAAGAGGTCTGGTTAGTTTTCCATGAATTGGATCCCAATGCTAGTTGTAGTCTTATTCTCTTAAAAAAAAAAAAAACACATAGCAGAAAGAAGTTACAAAAGGAATGTCTGAAGGACTCAGATGAACACGAATGCTACATTACTACTAACGAAGGCTGTCCTTATTTTAAATTATTCTATTAAAAATGGGAGAATGCAGAGGAATGACTCCCCTGTCATATGCCACACAAAATTAACAGGTAAGTACAATTCAGTCACATTCATAACACCACATGTGGCCTCAAATATTATGCATACTTGTTGACTGATGTTAAGTATCAACTTACTGTACAAAGAAGAAATAAAACAAAACCCACAGTAATATATTTCTTTAAGAATACACTGAGCCGGGGTCGGGCGCGGTGGCTCACGCCTGTAATCCCAGCACTGTGGAAGGCCGAGGTGGGCGGATCACGAGGTCAGGAGATCGAGACCATCCTGGCTAACACGATGAAACCCTGTCTCTACTAACAATACAAAAAAATTAGCCAGGCGTGATGGCGGGCGCCTGTAGTCCCAGAGACTCGGGAGACTGAGGCAGGAGAAGGGCATGAACCCAGCAGGAGGAGCTTGCAGTGAGCCGAGATCGCGCCACCGCACTCTAGCCTGGACGACAGAGGGAGACTACGTCTCCAAAAAAAGAAGAATACACTGAGTCGGATAAATACTAGCACGAGCTGATAAGCACCGCTAGAAACCGAAGTTCTGATTTCAGCAAATACATAGAAACACTTTTCAAAAAAGCAGTATACCTTAGGCCGGGCGCGGTGGCTCACGCCTGCAATACCAGCACTTTGGGAGGCCGAGGCAGGCAGATCACTTGAGGTCAGGAGTTCAAGACCAGCCTGGCCAACATGGCGAAACCCTGTCTCTACTAAAAATACAAAACAGCCGGGAGTCGTGGCGGGCGCCTGTAATCCCACCTAGTCGGGAGGCTGAGGCAGGACAATCGCCTGAACCCGGGAGGCAGACGTTGCAGTGAGCAAGATCGCACCACTGCACTAGAGTTTGGGGGACAGAGTGAGACTCTATCTCAATTAAAAAAATAATAATTAAAAAGTTTTTAAAAAAGAAAAGCAGTATACCAAAGCCATCCCTTACCCATACGTACATTTACTCTTACTTGGACTCAGGAGTAACAAGGAATTCACCTCCTTTAGAAAATCAAGAAAATGAAATGTTGAGTCAAGAAGCAGTTAAGGAAAAAGTATTTGTATTTATTGAGAACCAACTACTTTATCCACTTCAGTAAGCTCAACAACATACTCAGAAACGGGATTCACCTCTGAATTAGCAAAAGAAAATCGACGATCCTAAAAAGCAATTTGGAGGAGTGGCAAAGAAAGAGCTGACGTTCGTTCCCGTCAGTACCAAACCACTCGGACCCACCGCCTGCCCCTTCCTCAGAGACCTAAACACACTGGAGCCGCGTTCCGGAAGCCGGTGGCATCTCCTGTCAGACGGCGGCCACTCCGTGCTCCTGTCACCTCCAGTGGTGGCGACCCCATCCCGAGGGTACTGCCGCCGGGGCTCGGCTCCGACTGCGGGAGACCCGGGGATGGGGTGGTGAGCCAAGTCTTCTAAGCAAAGCTGTTACAGCTGCGAGTCCTGGGACAGCCCGAAGGCCAGAAGGGGCGACCCTGGGGCAGAGGCCGCAACATCCCTCGGGATCCCCACCGAGGCAACCGGAACAGCATTCGGGGGACTCGGCTATCCCGACCCTCGGCGTGACGCCGGGTCGGACCGGGTCGCCTGGCATTGGGGCAGGCCCTCCACCGCGACGGGACGGGATACCCAGCGGGGGTCCCGGAGAAAGGAAGGGCGGGCCGGCGGGCGCCCCACAGCCGGAAGGGGCGAGCCCTCAAACAGGGCTCCCGCCCCGGCAGGGCTCACCTTCAGGTCGTTCTCTGGCAGGTACTTGCACAGCCGCGCTATCTCCACATACTTGTCCAGGTCTAGCGGCGCCATTTTAGGAATAACAAGCCGCGGCAACAGCAGCGGCAGCGGCTGTAGTAGCGGCGGCGGCAGCGGCGGAGGCCGAAGCCGGAACTTTCCCTGCGTCACGTCCGGCCCGTGAGTGGCGTCTGCGCAGCGCCGTTAAAGCTCGACCCGCTTCTCCCCGCTACCTCGGTACGCCCGGCGCCCCCTCTGGCTGAACGCCGGCTACAGGGCCCAAGAGACCCCTCTTCGATCCACCCCGCGAACCTGCTGGGACCCGTAGTCGTTTGCCGCGGGGCGTGCTGGGATGTGTAGTTTTCAGTTGTGGACAGCCACCTCCCCTCTTTTCCTCCCATTTCTCCAGACTTCCACCTGCCGGCCGCCGGCCAGGCTTTTCCGAGGCAAAACGGCGGAGTAGGTGGTCCTAGCCACTCACTGGTTTCTTTTTCCAACCCTTTTAAGCACTCTTTCACCAGAATGTCTTAACAGTTGGGTAAGCCTGGCCGTTTGCACCTTTCCAAGTCCCTGTGAAAACCTCGCCTAAGCCTGTGGCAGAGATGTCAGGCTCCAGTCTTCCAACCTGAAAGGAAGGGAAACAAATATTATAGGGTTTCTAATGCTAAATGCGATACAAATGCTGTTTTTCCGCTTAATCTTCGTAACAATTGATAGGAAAGTGAGGCTTGGAGGCTTTAAGTAGTTTACCCCAAATCTCACAGGGAACAAAATGGTGGGACCAAGACTGGAAAAATGGCTTAAGCTTAAGCCTACTTCCAATGAGAATCCCACAAGGACACGGAGTTTTTTGCTGTAACTCCAGCACTGAGAACAGTACCTGGTACTAGCATACCTTCAGCATTCGTTTATTCAAGCACTCTTTATTGAGCAACCAAGATGTGCCAGGTACAGCTGCAGGCGCTTGCAATACTTCGTGAACAAAATAGACAAAGATCTCTATCCTATCCGTAGGTACAAAAAATACCAAAATTAGCTGGGTGCGGTAGTGCGTGCTTGTGGTCCCAGCTACTCTGGAGGCTGAGGCAGGAGAATCGCTTGAGCCGGGAGGCGGAGGTTGCAGTGAACCGAGATCGAGGCACTGCACTCCAGCTTGGGCGACAGAGCGAGATCCTCCTCAAAAATAAATTAGTAAAGGTGGCCGGGCCCTGTGGCTCACGCCTGTAATCCCAGCACTTTGGGAGGCCGATGCGTGCAGATCCCGAGGTCAGGAGATCGAGACCATCCTAGCTAACAAGGTGAAACCCCGTCTCTACTAAAAATACAAAAAGAAATTAGCGGGGCGTGGTGGCCGGCGCCTGTAGTCCCAGCTATTCGGGAGGCTAAGGCAGGAGAACGGTGTGAACCCGGAGGCGGAGCTTGCAGGGAGCTGAGGTCCCGCCACTGCACCCTAGCCTGGGCGACAGAGCAAGACTCCGTCCCAATAAATAAATAAATAAATAATAAATAAATAAATTAGTAAAAGGAAGCTGCTGTATGGGACTAGGGGCGGGGGTACAATGGCTGTAGCTAAGAGACCAGTTAGGAGACCGTTATGTAATCCAATAGTAGCAGGCGCTCAATAAATATTTGTTGCTCAAGAGTTCCTGGAATGAATCCTCTTGCTCTCTAAAGTGTATTTTGTGAACAAATGGCTAACCCTTAATGAGATATCTGGGTGAACTTCTTTGTATTATTCTTGTAACTGTTCTGAAAGTAGGAAATTGTTTCAAAGTAAAATTCATTTTTTAAAGTTTGTTACAGAATGAATAATGCCCACAAGTATTCATTTCTTCATTCATTCAACTAATAGTTACATAGTGCCTATTGGCCAGGCCGCAGTGGCTAATGCCTGTAATCTCAGCACTTTGGGAGACCAAAGCAGGCAGATCACCTGAGGTCAGGAGTTCAAGACCGCCTGACCAACATGGTGAAATCCCATCTCTACTAAAAATACAAAATACTCGGGAGGCTGAGGTAGGAGAATCACTTGAATTGCTTGAGGCGGAAGTTGCAGTGAGCTGAGATGGTGCCACTGCACTCCAGCCTGGGCCACAGAGTGAGACCCCATCTCGAAGAAAAAAGAAAAAAGAGGTTACACAGTGCTTACGATGTGAATAAAACAGATATGATCCCTGCCCTAATTAGGCTTACAATCTGCTGGGAAGAGACAAACAGTATTTATTTATTTACATTTACTGTTTTATTATTAATATAAAGGATATTATAAAAGATACAAATGAAGAAATGCATAGGGTAATTTAAGTTTTTTTGTTGTTGTGGAGGCCGGGTGCAGTGGCTCACCCGGTGGGCAGATCGCTTGAGGCCAGGAATTCAAGGCCAACCTGGCCAACATGGTAAAACCTGATCTCTACTAAAAATACAAAAATTAGCTGTGCATGGTGGTGCATGCCTATAATCCCGGCTACTTGGGAGTCTGAGGCATGAAAATCGCTTGAACCCAGGAGGTGGTGGGGGTTACAGTGACCTGAGATCGTGCCACTGCACTCCAGCCTGGCCAACAGAAAAAAAAAAAAAGAAGAAGAAGAAAAGAAACTTGTTGAGGTGAGGTCTTACTATGTTGCTGAGGCTGGTTTTAAACTCCTGGCCTCAAGGTGTTCTTCTGCCTTGGCCTCCCAAAGTGCTAGGATTATAGGTGTAAACTACCATGCCTGGTGATGAGCAAATATTTAATTGGAAATTGTGATTAGTGCTCAAAAGGGAAAATAGGAGATACTATAAGCAAGAAAAATGGAGTAGAAGAGGTCTACCTTGGTCGGATCACGAGGTCAGGAGATCGAGACCATCCTGGCTAACACAGTGAAACCCCGTCTCTACTAAAAAGTGCAAAAAACTAGCCGGGCGAGGTGGCGGGCGCCTGTAGTCCCAGCTACCTACTTGGGAGGCTGAGGCAGGAGAATGGCGTAAACCCGGGAGGTGGAGCTTGCAGTGAGCTGAGATCTGGCCACTGCACCCCAGCCTGGGCGACAGAGCGAGACTCCGTCTCAAAAAAAAAAAAAAAAAAGAAGAGGTCTACCTTTGCCTGGGCACGGTGGCTCATGCCTGTAATCCCAGCACTTTGGGGAGGTCGGGAGATCGATACCATCCTGGTCAACATGGTAAAACCCCGTCTCTGCTAAAAATACAAAAAAAAATTAGCTGGGGGTGGTGGTGCGCACCTGTAGTCCCAGCTACTTGGGAGGCTGAGGTGTGAGAATTGCTTGAACCCAAGAGGTGGAGGCTGCAGTGAGCCAAGATGGTGCCACTGCACTCCAACCTGGGCAACAGAGTGAGACTCTGTCTCAAAAAAAAATAAAATAAAAAAAGCGGCCCACTTTAGATTGACAACACAGCGGAGGTAAAGTACAGGATGTAGATTCTAGCACCATGTGGGCAGAGTTCAAATACAGGCTCTATCACTTATTGTGTGATTTTGGGGAAGTTATTTATCCTTTCTGTACTCCAGTTTTCTCAGCTCCAATATGGAGATGATAATAATAATGCTTACCTCCTCTGGAGATTCTAAGAATACTCATAGGCTTGTACAAAGGTTTAACAGAGTTGATATATGAAAATGGCTTAAAACAATGTCTAGGCCGGGCCCAGTGGCTCACGCTTGTCATTCCAACACTTTGAGAGGCCAAGGTAGGAGGATCACTTGAGCCAAGGAGTTCAAGACCAGTCTGAGCAACATAGTGAGATCTCATCTCTACAAAAAAGAAAAAAAAATTAAAATTAGCCAGGTTTGGTGCTGGCACACACCTGTAGACCCAGCTACTCTAAAGGCTGATGTGGGAGGATCACTTGAGCCCAGGAGGCCAAGGTTACAGTGAGCTATGATTGTGTCACTGTACTACAGTAGGGTGACAGTGAGACCCTGTCTCAAAACAAAACAAAAACATTGTCTGGCACAGAGTGAGTGCAATATGAGTGTTAACTCTGAGTATTATGTGGGCAGGAAAGGCATTTCTGAAGAAGTAACATGTAAGACTTTAGAAAAAAAATGTAGGAGGCTGGGCATGGTGGCTCACGCCTGTAATCCTAGCACTTTGGGAGGCCGAGGCGGGCAGATCACTTGAGGTCAGGAGTTCAGGACCAGCCTGGTCAACATGGTGAAAACCCATCTCTACTAAAAATACAAAAATTAGGCAGGCGTAGTGGTGTGTGCTTGTAATCCCACCTACTGGGAAGGCTGAGGCAGGAGAATTGCTTGAATCCGGGAGGCAGTGGTTGCAGTGAGCCAAGATCGTGCCACTGCACTCCAGACTGGTTGATGAAGTGAGACTCCATCAAAAAGAAAGAAAGAGAGAAAGAGAGGAAGGGGAGGGGAGGGGAGGAAAAAAAGGCAGAACAGGTGCAGTGGCTCATGCCTGTAATCCCAGCACTTTAGGAGGCTGAGGTGGGCAGACTGCTTGGGCCCAGGAGTTCGAGACCAGCCTGGGAAATGTGGCAAAATTCCATCTCTACAAAAAATATAAAAATGAGTCAGGCATGATGGCATGTGCCTGTAGTGCCAGTTACTTGGAAGGCTAAGGCGGGAGGATTGCTTGAGCCCAGGAGGCGGAGGTTGCGGTGAGCCAAAGTTGTGCCACTGCATTCCAGCCTAGGCAACAGAGTAAGACCCTGTCTCAAAAAAAAAGAAAAAAGGAAAAAAAAGTAAAGAGATAATCTGCTCAGAGTTTCTTGGAGAAAAAAATTCAAATGGAAGAAGATGCTGTTGTTGTTTGGATATTTTTCTTTTTTCTTTTTTAAAAAAAAAAAAAAAAAAAAAGATGTTTATGGCCAGGCACGGTGGCTCACGCCTGTAATCCTAACACTTTGGGAGGCCAAGGCAGGCAGATCACGAGCTCAGGAGATCAAGACCATCCTGGTCAACATGGTGAAACCCCATCGATACTAAAAATACGAAAATTAGTGTGCCTGTAATCCCAGCTATTCAGGAGACTAAGGCAGGAGAATCGCTTGCACCAGGGAGTCGGAGGTTGCAGTGAGCCAAGATCACGCCACTGCACTCCAGCCTGGTGACAGAGCGAGGCTCTGTCAAAAAAAAAAAAAAAAAGAAACTGATGTTTATTTTCCATCAACCTTATTCCCATTTTGCTTAAGAGCCCCTGCAAGGCCGGGCGCGGTGGCTCAAGCCTGTAATCCCAGCACTTTGGGAGGCCGAGATGGGCGGATCACGAGGTCAGGAGATCGAGACCATCCTGGTTAACACGGTGAAACCCCGTCTCTACTAAAAAGTACAAAAAACTAGCCGGGCGAGGTGGCGGGCGCCTGTAGTCCCAACTACTCCGGAGGCTGAGGCAGGAGAATGGCGTAAACCCGGCAGGAGGAGCTTGCGGTGAGCAGAGATCCCGCCACTGCACTCCAGCCTGGGTGACAGAGCCAGACTCCGTCTCAAAAAAAAAAAAAAAAAAAAAAAAAAAGAGCCCCTGCAAGAGCCGGGCGTGGTAGCTTATGCCT